GCAAATATGAAAGCAACATGAGTCTGTTCTGTAAGATTATTACCCCTATAGCCATAAAATGTTTCTAATATTGCTAACAATATTTATACCACAGGAGAAAATGTATATAAATATTGCTATTATGTCTAACATGGAATCAAAACAGGTGTAGAGAGTTCGATGAGAAAAAAAATGTAAATGAAAAATTCAATACATCTTAACATGCATTGTTACCATGTTACTGTTAAATTAAATTTATCACGTAAAATAATTAAGTCTAGTTAATAGGTAATATGTAATGAGTACCTAGTCACAGAACTTAATAACATTCTAATTGTAATCAAACATACTATGTAATCGGTGCTTATTGCATTAAAACACACATCACACCCCTGTTATTGCTTTTGTTTTATAAATTGGAATGTTAGTTCAACTCCTGCTTCTTAGTAAGGGTAATGCCTTTGTAATGTTGAAAATGAACTGGCAGGAAGCCAAGGACTCTGCTGTAGATGAATTACAAAAGAGGTTTTGAATTAAAAAAAAAATAAAAGGTTTAATCTCCTAAACACCTTAAATTTATGATAATGTGGTGGGTGTCAAATTGTAAATGGCTTGATTCTTTCCCACTCAATCTTAGCAATATTATATTGTAGATGTTTGAATAGGGCAGTAAAGACCGTTCTAGTAAGATTTTCTTGTGCGAAATTATGTAATGTCCATAATTTTCATAGTTTCTATAGTGCTTTGATTTAAAGATGTAGAATAAAAATATTCTTACAATTTCTAAAATCAAATTTTTATTTAAAACAACTTCTCATGACATTACATGTAAGATACTGAAAGTTTTAATACTATGGATTTTAAGTTTGTTGCTAAATAAAATATCCTATCTTATCACAAGTTTTAATTACCAAGAAATAAGCTTATTAGTTAGTCAATATTAATCATAGCTATGAAGTAGCAATAGCCAACCCAAATTTGTACTAATCTTCCTATGAGAAAAGTATAAGACTTATTACAAATAGTGGTATTATCAACAAAAAACTGTTCAAACTTTCCTAATATAATTACACTAATTTACAAGAAAAATAACTGAAAGAGTAGGCTAAATTTTAAATTATAACTCTACCTACATATTCTAGATGATTATTTAACACCAAAACTCCCAAATAGAACTAACTTTAGACAAATGATAGCAGTGTGACATTTTGTCTATTTATACCACATGAATATAATTTGAACTTTAGCAATTAATACAATCAAGATAAATAATTCTATTACTTTCTACTTAAGTAAAAGTCTTCTTTCATTAACATATTTATATGACTTCTAAGTCGGTTTTACAACATTATATTCTTCTACTATAAATGTTTTATCTGATTCAATTTTAATAAATTATAGTTAGTACCTAGAAAGCAATAACTTCAAATATATATAATAGAGAAGAAGTTAGGCAATTATATGGGCAAATTAATATCATGCTAAAGATAAATTTTATTTTTAAATGCAGTATTCGGATAGAATAGTGAACTAGATTCCCAACATAACTTAGTATTGTCCTTGACTTCATTAGTAAATTTAATTGTGAAAAATAGAGAATGCTAATTGACATATATGAAGAAATATTGTAGGAATCTAGATTAATAAAAGAGGAAGCTAGACTTCTACAGACTCACATGTAATTTGTAATGTATATTTAAAAGATATTCATCATGGTGGAAAAAGAAGAGAAGACAGCTTAAATAGAGCATTCATTTATAGGTTAGATCCATAAGAGAACTCCTTTAATTTGGAGATTTAAAGAAAAGAGAAGAAAAAAAACATGTCAATGGAATGAATGATTCAATTTTGATTATGTATTTATTAATAATCAAATATAAAACATTTTATTTTGCTTTACTGAAATTCAGTTTATATTAGTATAACTAACCCTTTATAGGTAAAAGGTACTATTAAAAGCTCTGAACATCTAACTATAAACCTCAATTAAAGCTAGCCTATCCTGCAATTCAAAATTTGAAATTATTTGCATATGTAGAACTTATTACAATTTCTGGGAATATTTAGGTTGGTGCAAAAATAAAAAATGTCAAATCAAATAAAATTGACCATATAGAAGATTGATACCCTAAAAGAGAAAAAAGAAACTCAACTTCTATTAGGACTTTGCAATTTAAATCATCTTTTGATCAGTGTGATGATTAAAAAAAAATGAAATCTGAAAAAACAAAGGGAAGAAATAAATGAAAAACTACTGAAAATAGAAATGAAGACAATTATGTTGTCTCCAAGAACTAGGGATACCAAATATTTTTATGGATTAAAGTTGCATTAAAAATATTACACACACACACACACACACACACATATATATACATATATATCTTATCTAATAAAGAGGGGATATGCTAATTGACCCTCACACCATCACAAAGACGGCGGCACCCACAGCCAATAAGGAGGGAATATGCTAATTGACTGCCACACCCTCAATAATGGCGGTGCCCACGGTCACAAGATGGCGGTGCCCAGTCTCCTCAGCCTGGCCTTGCCATGTGCCTGCCTCTGGAGACCCCTAGTCCTCTCAGCCCCCCAGCCGCCCAGGGCCAGCCCGAGGCTCAGGTAACCTGGGCCGGCCGAGGCTTGCGCTGTTGGAAGTGGCAGCAACAGAACTGTGATGGGGGCATCACCTTCCCCTGATTGCCAGGTCACCTCCCACCCCTGAGGGCTCCCAGACTGTGAGAGGGGACAGGCCGTGCTGAGGGACCTCCCTCCAGTGCATGAATTTTCATGCACCAGGCCTCTTGTGTGTGTATATAAATATATTACACATACACACACACACACACACATACTATAAGCCTGTGATAGTCTATCTCAGGGGTGGGCAAACTTTTTGACTCGAGGGCCACAATGGGTTGTTAAACTGGACCGGAGGGCCGGAACAAAAGCATGGATGGAGTGTTTGTGTGAACTAATATAAATTGAAAGTAAACATCATTACATAAAAGGGTACGGTCTTTTTTTTTTTTTTTTTTTTTTTTTAGTTTTATTCATTTCAAACGGGCCAGATCTGGCCCGCGGGCCGTAGTTTGCCCACGGCTGGTCTATCTTCTCTACTGGTAATAACTAAAATCTCTAGAAATAACATATAACAAAATCAGAATAAAAACAGTAACAAAAAAAACTACCTAAGCCTTCTGTTGAGTGAACAAAATCTTGTGGAAGAGAATGAAAACTAGTTTCCCACATTTTCTTTTTTCTCTCATGGCGTTGTGTATGGGAGTTTCAAAGTGATTCTGGAGCTAAAATTTTTCCGTGAGTACAGAGGTATCTTGGAAATAATCCAGTATAGGCTGAACAGTGTAGAGGTAATTCCAGAGAGCAGTCGAGAAGGAGATGCCATGATACTGTGTACATAACCACAGAAATCGCAGTCTAATGACATACATACTTGAATAGCAAAGACTTTAGGAGTCAACTGAGATTTGAATCACTGCTCACAGGAGGCAACACAGAACTTAGGGGTGATTACCTGCCTAAAATCATCTTTTCCAGATGGTGTCAAATTACCCAGAGTCTGCACAACACAGTATTTACAGTATTCAGGACAGAATTCAACAATTCTTGCTATTTAATGAGTCAGGAGAATAAGACCAATTCTAATGGAAAGGGTAATCAGCTTATGCACATCCCAACATGGCATGAATATTTCACCTTAAGAATTTATAAACAAAGAGAAAAGCAAATCTAAAATATATAGAACAATTGAAATAATAAAGACAAAACCAAAATCCAAACACTAGAAAACAGATCTATAATTGAAAATATAAATTACTAAAGGCAAAAATTAAAGCTTTGTAAAGAACAACATTGGTAAACCCTTAGCTATAAAAGACTTTTTAATAAGTACTGCTGAATGATTTGTGTGTCCATATTTGTATGGAAAGATAATACATACTGACTCTACAGAAATGCACTCCAAATGAATCATTGACCTTAATGTAAAATCCAAATCAACAAAACAAAAGGAAAGCTTAGACATGCATTGTTTAATTGGTCTTTCCATTAATTTCTAGATAAGCAGTTTATAAATGTGTAAAATAATATAGATTTGTTTGTGTCTGTTCTTGGGGAAATATTTGCTTTCAAGAGTCCTCAATTAGAAAATGCATCTTGTTTCACAATAACGATCACATTATATCAATATTAATGGAATAGAAATTATCTAGTAGAAACATTTTGTCATAGGAGTATCTTATACATTTCCACTAAGACAGCTATTTCCTTTCATGTATCAGAGCACCTACAACACTGATGATTCTGAAATATTATTAAGAATAATGTTAAATCTTTCCCTTTTTAAAAAAACATGTTTAATAAATTATTTCAAAATCACATGCAATAACTTAATATTGGTTATGTAGACTCCACTTACATTAGCCCTCACACTTCCCAAATTTAACAGTTATATTTTTTATAATTATTTAATAACCCTCTTTGTCGTAGTCCCTACTTTCAGACTATAAACACTATTTTGATAAAAATATAAGTACTGACATATTCAACCATTTAAAAATACTATACCATACCTTATGAGCATGTAAGATAATTCCACAAATAGCTTAAATAAGAAATAAAAACTCTCAATCCCTATGTGAGGCACAGGACCGTTAATATTATAATAAACAGATGGAAATCTAAGGAAATGTTGACCTATCACTAATAACTAATAATAACTAATAATATAGTTCATTTGCTATTGTGTTTCTGTTGTAACATTAATGATTATCAGGGTAAGCAGTATCGAGATCATTAAATATATACAGCACTGTTTAATGTTCCATGACATCCACTAGATGTCTCCAATAACTGGCTTTGAGCAGCTATGTTCTTTCTAAAGCTATACATTAACTACTGAGAAACAAACTGCATAGGCATTTGTATCTCCCTGTAAAAATGTGTATTTTTCAAAGCAGAGCAAGTTCTTCGAGTAAGCATACAGAATGAAAACAACTTACATTCGATATCCAGATACATGCTCTTTTGGTGCCCTCCGATTCTACTCGCAGCTTCACAATCGTACCTCCCAGAATCGGACAACTTCACATCTTTAATCTGCAGGGATGAGCTTCCGTGCTGCCCTTTGACTTCAAGACGGCCATCTGGGCTCTGTTTACATCGAGTCAGGAAAAAGAAAGATTTTATGTTTCGTTTGTGTAAAATGATGACCAAAAATGATGGTATTTATGATATATGCAGTAAACAAAATGAACTCTTACCAGCATTCAAGTGTGTGTGTGTATGTGTGTGTTATTTCCCCAAAACCTAGTGTTTCTCTATTTATGATTTATAATTCCTAGCTTATCCATTTTACCTGTCCACTTGCTTACAGGGAGACGAACAGTCGGAAAACTTACACACATATTTTAGCAATATCTTTTACTTAGTATGCTCTTTGCTCTTTAAAAAAACTTGCACGTTCTTGCAGGAAGGGTTTTGTTGGCTTCCAGTTATATTCTTTGCAAACGTAACCACACAACAACGCCTTCAATTCTGCCTAAAACCTACAATGAAAATGATATGCCTGTGGCACTTTAGTTTCATATCCACCATGGAAGGAGAACGTATCAAGACTTATAAAAATAAAAGCCTTCAGGAAATTATAGTTTTCATTTTTGAATAAAAGCAACAGTACTGCTCATAAGCATAATTAACACCAGATGCATCACAGACAAAATAGTAAGACATAGCACTATCAAACTCACTTTTAGGGATTCAATGGAAACTATATGAAGATGATTAATTACTTACTCTGTGAATATTGACTCAAATAAAGGAACTGCTTATAATCCAATACTCTATAGATTATATTTCAAATAAGAATTAATTCTTGTGTGCAACAAAATCAGCATAGCTAGAAGTGTCTTAAATCATTTAAATACATTTATGGGACCCACATTAAAACAGAGAGAGTTTCTTCATTGAATTTTACTTCATACTGTCAGAAAATATATTGAGCTTTTAGCATTTTATAATGTATTTGAAATGTACTGTACTATTATTGGTTCGATTATTTTCAATATTTGAGGTTTTAGTGCACCATAAATTATTTTATGCCGTACATGTATTATAAAATGTGTATATTATGTAACAATATGATAGTTGTTTAATTTTCTATGTGACTGAAATTCAATTAAATTTTAATACATTCATGTACTTTATATTAAAAAAATTTGGCATTTAATAATTTTTCCTTATTAATATCAAAAGACCATTTTAAAGTTCTCTTTTCAAACATCAAGTTGACTGGTGCAGAATATGATTACTTTTTGCTTTTTAATTTTATACAGCCATGCAATTACTCTATCATCATAGCAGTCACTCAATTTATTTACTATCAGAAAAAATAGTCTTCAAAAACAAAGAAAAACATACTAGCAATGCATTATGCAACTTACATCAGGATTTCTAGGCCAACCATATGTTCCCCACTCCCGAGTATTGCTAAAAAAATAATAAGGTGAGGTTTTCAAGCAGAAGGGCCTTCTCTTCTGCCAACTTTTAACATGTTCAACTGCCAAGTTCATTTACTTAATTGAGAGAAAAGGAGGAAAAAAAGCCAAACTTCACAAAAGTTCAACTCAGAATGAATAAACCCAAAAGCAAAATGGCACCTGGCCGGTGTTGCTCAGTGGTTGAGCACTGACCTACGAACCAGGAGGTCACGGTTAGATTCCCGGTAAGGGCACATGCCCCGGTTGTGGACTCGATACCCAGTGTGGGGTGTGCAGGAGGCAGCTGATCAATGATTCTCTCTCATCATTGATGTTTCTTTCTCTCCCTCTCTTTTCCTCTATGGACCTAATTGAACGATCCTTTCTTCCTTATGCAGTGACTTCCCTTGGTTTTCAAACACCTGCACTCCGATTTCTCTCCATTTCACCTCTCTGACTACTCCTTTCTCTCAGCTGCAGTCTCCTCTCTGCCTGTGGTCCCTGCATTCTGTCCTGGATTCTGTTCTCGCTTCAGTTAATATGCTCTGCTCAGTCACATCTGCAGGGGTGACCTTCAGTCACTCCCTCTCCAGCCAGGATCTCTCTTTCCCTGGAGCTTCAGAGCCAGATATCTCACTCGCAGGGCTCTTCCCTTTGACATGTATCTCAGTTGGCATGTGCAGACCTGAACGCATCACCCCCTCACCCGGTATCACCTGCTCACCCACATGGTCTTCCTTCCCATGAATTATACCAATTATTTACCATGACCCATGCTATACCTGTCCTCTGTCCGTCTTGGGTAGTTTTCTGAATCTTTATGTATATTCCCAATTATGAGAAATGACAGTTGATCATCTTGTTCTACATTATCATTTCCAATCCTCAGCACTTGTGCTTGGTAGACCTATCTGTTCTGTGCTTTTCCCATTTACAGTCTCGGTGGTGCTGCTGCGTTGAAAGGATATTGACAGGCGTCTCAGCTTTTCAGAACAATCACACTGAGGCTGAATGTGACCGAAAAAGACTCCCTGACTCTGCAAAAGTCATCAACATTAAGCTATTTTCTATGTTTCTCTAGCAAAAAAGAAATCATTCCAGCTGCAGAAATTATTTCTTATGAAGCTAAGAATGTCCTTTTTTTTTTTTTGAAAATCAAACTTTTAATTCTTATAACTTCATGAAGGTTTCACATCCCCGGTGCTCTATAATCATAAATAACGTTGTATTCCCTTCCAAGTACAACTCCTACCCCACAGCCTGATGCTTAAGGACTTCCATATGGCACCGCTTTCCTGTCTAAGCACACTTTACAATTTGGATGCCAATTAATTTGAATTACTTGTACTGTCATGAATATCCTGTGCTCTCCATAAGCACCCTTCTTTAAAGACCTGTCTTAAATCAATCTCCTTTTATCCCTTCCACATTTAAACAGAAGGATTCTATCATAATTCCTTTAATTTTTTGGCCAACTATCAATTTATTTCAAAATAGTTCCTGGCTGATTATGTTATTATTATAACATATTTTTATATATTATTTCTTCTATGTTCTATTTATATTATATATACAATTATTTATTATTTATAATCATTTCATTGAGTTTTGTGCTTTTCTTGGGACACTGCCTTTTTCTAGTTTTGTTGAAAATTCATTTGTAGAGTGATATTATAGTTGAACAAACATGAGAATATATTTGTGGCACTTGATTGCTGGAAGCTATCCATTGTCTACACCAGTGATGGCGAACCTTTTGAGCTCGGCATGTCAGCATTTTGAAAAACCCTAGCTTAACTCTGGTGCCATGTCACATATAGAAATTTTTTCATATTTGCAACCATAGTAAAACAAAGACTTATATTTTTGATATTTATTTTATATATTTAAATGCCATTTAACAAAGAAAAATCAACCAAAAAAATGAGTTCAGGTGTCACCTCTGACACGCGTGTCTTAGGTTCGCCATCACTGGTCTACACTATCATGAAAGTGCAACAGGGAACTTGGAAGGCTGATGGACCTTGAGCTTTAGCAAGGGCTAAAGCTATGCACCGATGGTTCTGTCGAGACATTGGTGGCTCAAGCAATTTCCTGACCTAATAGTCTCAAAGTAAATCTTTACTAATATTTACTGACCTTTAAGAGAGTCTGTCTGCTACCAGATTGCCTGCCTAACTAAGGGCAAGATGTGTATTCTAAAATTGAAGAAAATTAGCAGGCCCTGGGCCCCAATGGAGCCTCTCCACTAGAGAAAGGTTTCCACCTGGCCCCCCATGCCTTCTAAATTCATATTTCTTGTCTAGTGTTTTCATCTGTGCATGGTCCCTTTTCCAGATCCTGAACCCTAGCCGCAAACGGATGCAGCATTCACACTTTATATGAAAGTCACTTGGACTAGTGCCGAGGACTGAACCATTCTATTCTAATATTATTGTGAAGTACATTGAGTTATGGTGAAATTTACATATAATTTGAGAAGAAAAAATGCAATCATAAGCTATTATTTACTTTGAGTTAAAAACTTGAATTTATCATCTTTATTAGAATGTGAAAAAATACCTTATTAAAGGCAAATTCTTCTTTTTTCCATTGAGAAATAATATTTTTCTTTTGTAGTATTGAAAGGTAATATTTACCTCCCTTGAAAACTATACGGTCTCTTGGTGTTGTAAATGATAGATTTTCAACTTGTGAAAAATTATTTGTGTATATAAAAACTAGCATTCTATTAGTAAAAGTGTTGGTATTTAAGTTATTATTAATAAATATAAAATTATTAACAGAAATTCTAGGAGAATAGAATTTCTTTGCGAAGATGTGTGATTCCCTGGATAATTATAAGTCATTTTAGACTTGGCATTGTCTTTATAATAATACACAATATGCATTAGTCTCAAATACTTCCACTGGAAGACCAAAGTCATTCCTTCTCATATCTGACATCCCAAAAGACATCTCTCTCCTGGTGCTGTACTAGTAAAAATGCATTACACATTTCTGAAAGAAAATTCATTTATATCTTGGCTTTGAATCCCCACCGACTTAAGATTCATTTAAGACACCTGATATTTGATTGAGACAGGTTAATAGACATATTAGCTGTCCATCTAGTATTTTCAGGTTCTTCCACTGCATTAAGATGATTAAAAAGTAAAGTTTCTATACATTATTATTCCAATCCTTTACAGGAAGGCACACTCTGAAATTTGATTTGAGCTATATTCTTTGCCTTTCCAGAAGGTCAGTTTAAGAACTGCTTATCTGAATAGTATTTTCATATTTTTATAAAATGATTATTTATAGCTTACTGTCCTTTCCATAATCAATTAATCAAATAACTATGTGATAACTACCTTTTTTAGTTTAGTGTCTATGTGAATATGAATATTTTGACAATTTTAATAGTCAGACATTTAAAATTGTATAATGTAATGTTTATAGATATGTTTTTTGTGTGTGATCTTACCTGATTAGACATGTGTTGGCAAATTTAAAATCCCATTGTAGTACACAACACATCGGAGGTGGAGGTATTCCCTATCTTTCTTCTTCCTTACACTCATGTCTTTGAACCTTTTTGAAATCATTGACCTCCCCCCACCCCTTGCTTTTATGGTCTTTTGAGAGAACTGTGGATCATGTCACTTAGTTATTCAACATTTTTTTTTGCAA